TGGATTTAGGAATGGTGTGAGGTTCACACTTGAAATGTACTGAACTGCTGTGGAGTCAGCTGCTGATAGAGTGAAGCCTTCAGAGGGTGGAATAGAAAAAATAACTTCATATGCTGGATTTCATTGCAGTTTGTGGTTGAGATACTCAGAGTGAGTTGTGTGGACATGATGCCAGACTGCACAACTTTACATTGTGGAGTTTGGGATTGCAGTGAGCATTGAGGGGATAAGCAAAGTTTATAGGAATGGGATGATTTTTAATCTCCCTTCCAACCCAAACCATTCTGGGATTCTGCTCTGTGCTTCTGTGAATCTGACTTAAACACTACAAATTAATTGGGTCTAATTGTCATGAGTCCTGTGCTGTTTTTCTAAAACTCAGTGCTGCATGAATTATTTCCTTTGGAGTCTGGAACTGATAATTAAAGGGAGGTGAACTCTGCTAAGGGAAAGCTGCATGGAATAAAAATGAGTTGTTGCCATCTACTGGTGACAGGGCATTGGGAGTAACAAAACAGGCCGAGTTCTCTGGCTTAGGGTTAAATAATGTGGAGTGACTGTGCTTGGTGGATTTTCAGTGTCACAATTAAAATCAGTATAAATTAGGCCCTGCCCATAGCAGGGTTGGAGCTGGATGATTTTAAGGTCCCTTCCAAACCAAACCATTCTGATTGTCTGAATCTGAATACTTCTGAGGGTGGTGAAAATGGAGCTGGGGCTGAAATGAAGAGACTTGCAGCACTTAGGTGTTGTCCAGCAGGGAACCAGGTGATCTCTCTACCTGAGACAGAGCCCAGGAGCATAGAGCACACAATTTTATTCAGAAGGAAAAAAATAAATCTGTGTAAAGAACAGGTTAAGGCAAACAAACAGCACATGGAGCAGAAGTGGTCAGAAGGTTGGGTGGCTGTGTTGTCACACCCAGGCCCTGGCTTGCTTGAGTTGAAGAAGCTGAGTTATGTTTGAAGAGATGCTTCTCTGTGTCTGGAAGCATCCCATCCTCACTTGAGGGCATGCTGACTGTCCTCTGGTGTGCAGGATGTTCAGCCTGTGGGGGAACTCCGGGTCAGAGAACAGCAGGCCAGTGGTGTTGGGTGGGCCGGGTGGTGCTCTGGATGGTGTTTGTTTGTGACCTGGGGGGTGAGGGAAGGAACTTTCCCATTACTGTTGCTTTTCCCCCTACATCATAACCGATTTCAAATGGTGCTAGACAAAAACTGAGACTCTGAACACCAAGAGAAATCGGTCAGCCTGTGTAAGAGACGTTTTCCTGGCTCAGAGAAGGATCCTCTTGGAGATGACAGCTATGCATTCTTTAGAGATGACTACTCAGTGCTCTGATCAAACCTTCATCCACACAGGGATCAGCTTTTCCATGTCTGGGAACACGCTGGGCAGCAGGGAGGGCAAAACAGAGAGTTCAGCTTCATTCTGGGTTGGGATGCAGGGCTGGAGAAGTGAAATATTGCTGGGAGGGACCAGCAGCAAACTGGGAAATGATTCTGGAGAAAGGAGTGGGTTCTGTGTGTGCTGAGAAGTGATTCTGGAAAAAGGAGTGGGTTCTGTGTGTGCTGAGAAGGGATTCTGGAAAAAGGAGTGGGTTCTGTGTGTGCTGGAAAGTGATTCTGGAAAAAGGAGTGGGTTCTGTGTGTGCTGTGTGGCATGTTCATGGTGCCCATGACAGGAGGTTGGAACAGGATGATTTTTAAGGTCCCTTCCAACCCAAGCCAGTCTGGGATTGCTGAAGGCACTTGTGTGTCTGACTGCTGAGGTCAAATAGTTGGGGAGAATTTTTGTATTTGCAGAGCTATGAAATGAGAATCCTGTGGTGATGGAGCCCCCAAGCAGAGGGTGGAAATCCTTTTGCTCTGAGGCAGTAAATTCAAGGTTGATCCTAGTTTTTGGCTATCAAACATACTCTGCCTGTCAAGTACAAGAGCTAGCACGTTGGTTTTCATGCAACTTGTGGATCACTTTACTCTGGACACCTTGAACTCATATGCATTGTTTATTGAGCAGAAGTACAGGAGCAGGAGGCTGTGCTGGTGTGGCCCTGGCTTGGGAGGGTGCATACAGTGGTTGGAGAAGTGTCTAGAAATCAGATGATGTTACAAAGTGGATGGCTGGCAAAAAAATCACCTTTGGAAAAGGGGCTGATTTGAGGAGCAGAGGATGTTGCTGGAGTGAGCAGGTGCTTGGTCTCCTCCCACGCTGTAATTCTTGCTCCTAGAACACTGATTTCAAATGGTGCTAGATACAAAGTGGGAAAATCTAAGCCACCATGTGAAACCAGCTTCCAGAGGAAGACACATCTTGGCTGCAGGCTGAGGGAGAAAATCCTTCATCTCCACCGTACCTAGAGAAAAATTCATTTATTTAATTTTATTAGACAGCAAGACAGTTACCTTGGGCTTAGCTACTTTATGGATACACTTTTTTTGTGGCATCTTGTGGATGGTTGAGGCCGGTGTAGGAGAAATGAAATATGTGGTGAGGAAAACCCCCAGCCTGGCAGTGAGTGCTGTTTCCTGCCCTGCCAGGTGGAATGCACTCAAGTTCTTCCAGCAAGTGATGATCGAGGTTTTATTTCTTGCTAGTGCAGAGCACGATGCTGATGGGGTGAGTGTGGGAAGTTTGTGTGGTTCAGGAACACTTTTTCCATTTCACTGCAGATGAAACCAGGCTGTAAACCTCATTCTGTCCAAGCCAGAGAGTGTTCTGCCTTTGTGTCACTCACTGATCAGAGAGTACAGGACAGATCAGGTGCTTTTTGTGACAGGGAAAGGAAATGTGAGTGTCCTGATGGAGCTTCCTCTGTCAGCAGTCCCTGTGCTTTAAGTAAGCCAGGACTTGCAGATTTTTGTGAGACAACTTTTCAATTCTGCAGGCAGGCTGAAAATAAATTGGATTGAAAGTACTTTGAGTGTGGGTCAGAGCAAAAAGGGAGCGTTCACAAATTGAACTGTAAATGGTTCAGTGGAAGTTGTCGAGGAAGGAGAATGTGAAAATGAGTGGCTGATGGTTCCTGGAACTGAGCACTTAACCTGCAGTGTCCACAGCTCAGAGCAGAGGGAATAGAGGGGTGTGGAGAAGCCTCTGAACTGCTCCACACATGCATAATTCAGGAGCTATCAACCCTGGGATAAGTGTCTGACCTGTGCTGGAGTAGAGGCCAATGTGAAATGGAACAAAGCACAACTGGAGGCAGCAGTTTCACTTATTGATGCCCTGGGCTTTTGGCAGCTTTGTGTATTCCTGTTGTAACCACATCCAAAAATCTGCTCTGGTGCCTCCATCCTAATGCACACTCCCAGGCAGCAGGGGGAAAGCTCAGAGACAGGAGCTTGTCCTTCCAAGAAACAGGGGTGGAGGAAGGGGAAATGACTGGACTAGATTCCTTGTCTGGATATTTGCTGTCGTTTCTAAATCCATTATCTGGGGCAACAGGGTGAAAGACGAGTGGAAAGCAGGTTCCCTCCCCAGTGCCTGCTCTGTGGCACAGTTATTTAGGAGGCACCCTCTATTATCAGGCGAGATTTACTCCTGAAAAGCTGCACCAGGAGTGCAGAATCACAGAATCACAGCAGCATCTCTGAGAAGCAGGCTCACAGTGAGGTTTGCTTTGGTTTTTCCTTGCCTCAGTAGTAAGCATTACAAGGAAATCTTCATTAGGATTTTGAAAAATAATTGGAGGAAATGTCACTTAATTTTGTGCTGCTGAAAGTGGGAACCTGTGTCCAAGTATGAGACTTAGAAGGATTGAACACCTCTGCACATCTTCCCCTCTGCAAAGGAGACCAACCTTTCCAGAAATATCATGCAGCAGATGCAGACCAATGGCTCATTTATTATTTATAGTTTTGATAAAACCAGGTTTCACTTCAGCATAATTAAGATGCTGCTGCCTCTCCTCCAGGCTACCTGGAGTTTGTCCTGTTGCCTTCACAAGCTCCCCAGAAGGTGTCAGCCCTTCCTGGCAAGGTGCAGGTGCACATTTGGGAAGGGATCTGCCTGTGCTCTCCTTTCCAAGGCTCCCAGTGTGTCTGGGCAGGAGAAAGGAGCAGTTCAGGATGCTGTGATCCACAGCTCATGTGCACATGGGCAGGAGAGCAGGAGCACAGCATGGTTTGGTTGGAAGGGACCTTAAAGCTCACCCAGTGCCACACCTGCCCAGGCAGGGACACCTCCCACTGTCCCAGGCTGCTCCAACCTGGCCTTGGGCACTCCCAGGGGTGGGGCAGGCACGGATCCTCTGGGAATTCCATCCCAGCCCGTCCTGCCCTCTCAGGGAAGGAAATGAAGCAGTGCTGGTCTCAGACATCTGCTGTGTGGGGAGCAGCAAGCACTGTCACCTGTGCTTGGCTTTATCACAGGATTGGACTTTGCAGTAAATAATAGCAGGGAAAGTACAATATCATTCTGTGGCTTCCCTCCTTTTCAGGTGTTTTAGTGGCAGTGCTGTAGCTTCTTTCAGAGGAACAACTCAAAGCCTTTCATGGACTTCACACTGCTTTGTACATTCCATAGGAAACAAAGACAGAAAGGGAATCCCTGCCTTCCCTGTGAAAGGGAACTTCCTCTCTAGCCTGAGACCTTCAGTCTGCAGGAACAAGGCAAGCCTGGATGTCACAGACCTGATTTTTCACAACTTGCACCTTCTATAGAAAGGCAGTTCTGGGGCTTTTACAGAAAGCAAAACAGATCTCAGTGTGCATCATACATTTTCTCCTCCATTTTCACATCATGGGGTGAAACTCGTGGCTCATCAGGCTCTGGTCTCCCCTGGAGAAAATAATCCCTGTTTTACATGCTGAGAATCTGAGCTTGATGCATCATCCTCCCAGTGAAGGAATGAATCAGCCCAGGGCCAGGTGCAGGACAAGGGGTGTGACAGGACAAGTGCTGACCTGTAAGGGGAATGGAAATGAGTGAACTTCTAAGGTTTCAAAAAAAGCCTCCTCAGCGTGGGGAGCCTGTAACTGCATCTCTTTGTTGTGCAGGTCTGGTGCTGCGTGGGTCAGCTGTGGACAAATGTGCTCTGACTCGCACTGGGAGCCAGTCCTCGGTGTGGAGCACTTGGTGTGGCAGAGCACGGCCTGGGTTGAGTGCAGGCAGATCAGGAGCTGCCCTGCTCAGGAAAAGTGATATTTGTGCCTAGGAGATGGCTCTGGAGAGGCCACTGCTGTTATGGGCAGCAAGAACAGGTACTTCCTTCACGAGTTTAAAGCATAAGGGGGATATTTCTTTCCTTTATTAGACCGCAATAAAAGCTCCACATTACAATCCTGAATTGAAGGTAGCCTATTCCTTCAGTCCTACTCTTGCAGCCTTACAAATGGAGTTAAAAGCCAGACACTCTGTGTCTGAAACCCCCCAAAACCCCAAGGCAGGCTGAACCCTGGGACAGGATGGGGGTAAAAGCCTGTGCAGCTTTGTGTCCCTTTTGACTGTGAGCAGTGGGACAGTCAGGCCTGCTGGGTTTGAGTCACTGATGACAATTCCTGCTAAGGGGAATCTGTCAGAGCACTCTGCAGTGTCTGTTTTAGCATGGTGACCATTAGAGGCGTGCTTAGATATTAGTGCTGTAGTTCCCCATCTTGTGATCCCCCTGCTTATCTGAAATTGCTTTGACTTGCCTGGAGTCATCCAATTCTCCAGCTTTGCTCTCAGGAGAGTTCCTGGGCAAACCCTGAGCCTGTTTGGAGGGCACAGGAACTGCTGAACCCCTGGATCCTGTGGAGAATTCCAGAATTCACAGGGAACAGTGAGGTGAAACTGGGCAAACTCAAGAAGAGCACTGCACTTGCATGGCTGAGGTCAGGGAAGGGCAGTAGGAAAGAAAACTCATCAAATTTAGCCCTACACAGCCTGAGTGAGCAGCACATTGCAAAACTCGCTCCACTCAAACAAATGATCCACCTAAGCAGCTGCAACCAGAAAGGCCATTTTCTATTCCTAACTCCTGTACCTAAGCATCACTTTGGAATGTAAAGTACTGATTGCAGGGCTTGAAAGCTCTCACAGGGAGATGATTGTTGTGATTTGTACAGTCAGTTCAGGAACATGGTGTTCCCCCAACACCACCGCTCCAGCTCCTCCAGGTAATGGCAAGAGAAGCCATATTTTTCTTTTGTGTCATTCTAGAGACAAAAGAATGTCCTGTGCCAGGGAGGAGCATAAGGAAACAAACCCAGCCAGCTGTTCACTGAAGTATAACCTGCCTTTAACCCAGACAGCTGAAAACAAGCCTTTAGTTTAACACTGCCCGCTGTACAAGGACCTGGCAAAACAGCTGGAGAGAAGCACTGCCCTAACACTCCTGGCTGACTCCCCCAGGCACACGAGCTGCTGGTCTGTCCCTGTTCCCAGGGTTTCCATCATTCCATCCCTGAAATGTCAAAAGTCCAGGAGCCACTGTCGGTGTTTAAGAAGCATTTGGGCTGGAGATCCAAATGCAGACCCAGTGGCTGCTGTTGGGCTCCTGAGCGCCGTGAGTGTTTGTGGGGGGAGCTGCAGAGATGAGGCTCACTCAGAAATAGCTCTTCCTTGGAAAGCTGGAGGGCTGAATCACAGTGTGTTGGCTCAGTTTTTAGCAGACGAGCCATCACATCTGCCTCCCTGTAGGCGAGGAGCCGTCACTGGCAGCGGGATTGGCAGCCAGGTTCTGTCCCTTTGGAAACCAGGCAGTGATGATGAGGAAGGCGAAGGCTCATCGTGGGCAGGGTCAGGAGGTGGGCTGGCAGCTCTGGGAGCAGGAGGGCTCTGCTCCCCTGTCCCTCTCTGTGCACAGAACGTGCCCCCAGGTTGAACTTTGGGCACTAAGTAAGTTCTTTGGCTCACAGGCATTAACCACTGCTCTGCTGCTGGGAGGCTGAGACAGCCCTGAGCATATCCATGGCTGGTGTTGTCCTGAGACAGCTGAAAATAGGAGTGAGATGGGCAAATAGGAACACCAGGGAAAAATGGGGAAACCTGGGAGGGGACAAGACAGCTCCTGAGCTAGGTACTTGAAACTGAAAGCACCTGAGGGTTTCAGTGCCCTGCAGAGCCCATCTGATAGCCACAGAAATACAAATGTACATGGAGGTTTTCTTCCTAGAACAGAGTGGGAGCCCTTAAATACATGTCACTCCTGGTTCCCAGCAGTCCGGAGGAAGTCTTGGGGGAAAAGGGGATGAGGGAACTAGTGGAAAGTTTTTGGAGCTAGCAAAGAAACAAATTAGAGAAATGGATTTTAAAATCTTTTAGAGACATGGGATTTTTTTTTGGAGCTACAGTTTTGGGCTCAGTACCCCCACTACTGCAGTAATGTTAATTTTCAGGCCTCCCCTCCAGGTTCAGGCATGGGCACAGTTGCAAGAGAAGTAGATTGGGAGTTCCTGAACCAACTGGTTGCTGACCATGAGTCAGGGGAATGACCTTGCAGCAGGCGGCTCACGGTGCCGCTCTCGGAGCCGTGCCAGGATAAACGGCACTGGCATCTCTGAGTGCTGGTGGAACCATTTTGTGACATTCCAGCTTGGCCTTGTCTCCTGCTGCCTTTGCACCGAAATTGTTTGGGTGGGTGGGAATGGGATAAAGTATTCCTTTTTTTCCTCATAGCCTGGGCTTGGGACTGTCTAAATACAGAGATAAAGGGGATATGGACAACTCTTATCTCCTGCCCACATCCTTGTCCATTAACATCAGCATTACAGATATTTAACCAAATTAAATCTTACTCTCCCCCCCAGCCATACCCATATTAAACTGTAAGAAAACACCATGACAAAGTTTAAAAAATCCTACGCAGCAGCACTGAATTTTCTGGATGGGTCTGGGAGAGATTTGTCAGAGGAGAGAGGGTAGAACACTTGGCATTTAGACGTTTTAATGAATGTTCCCAAATAAGAAAAGAAAAACATTTGCTTGTAGACTCTAAGCTTCTCACAGCATCAGAAAGCTCCTGACACAGAGCCCAGTGCTGTATTTGTATAACATGGAAATGAACAGCAGCAGCAGCAGAGCTGCAGGCTCCGAGCCTGCTCTGTGAGCAGCAAAATGGCCAGGGGTGCTGGGGCTCATCCGAATTCTGTCACCATTTGGGGGGTCACTAGGTGGACCTGATACCCCTGACCCTTCAGATATAGTTTCAACTCTAACATCAGTATGAAATGAATATTTCTAATCATATTCAAGCTTGTGCCCCCATCAGCTCCACTCCCTAAAGCACCGACAGGAACCAACAGCAAAATTCGTCTGCGTCACAGATGTAACATGACCATCGGCAAAACAAGAGCAGGAGGAGATCATGGCTGTCTCGTCCCTCACAGAGCCTTCCTTCACTAGCACACAAGAAGAGGTAATGCTTTTAAATTTATACCCTGGGCATGTGAAATCCTGCCCTTCCTTCCCCGAGTCCCGCGGTCCCCGAGCGGTCAGAACGCCCGAGAAAACTGCGTGTGTTTTGTCGGCGTGGTACCGAACGCTGCGTCACGATGCTGCACCAAGGCCCAGGCAGAGCAAACCCCACTCCCCAGAGCAGGGAAACCCAGATACAGGAACATGAATCAGCTCATGCAGTGTCACACACACAAGTGTCAGAGGGAGGGAGAAATCACAGCTTTCCCCAGTCCTTTTGCGGCACTGTGCGGAAAACGATCGCGGAACGTTACCCAGGTACAGCTCACGGTGACAGTGCCACCCCTGTGCACATAATCACTGCTGTCCTACAGAAATATGCCGTGTCCCCTTCTTAGCCTTGTTTCCTGCCAGTCCCACAGATTTACCTGCTGACAGTAACCTCAATTCCTGAGTAATGAGATTTACAGCTGGAGTTTAACATTGAAATAACTCCTCTTACATCCGTCTCCTTACCCTCTCTGCGTTTAGGCACAGTTAAGCCATCGCTGTGGCCAAAACGTGATGTCAAAAAGAATTAAACCAAATACATCCTTGTGCTGAAGACACTCAGCAGCCAGTGGCACCTCCTTGAAAGCCATGAAACAACAGCACCAGCTTTACAAAGTCAGGGCTTCTCCACCCCACAACCACGATGGGGAAAACCACAAAGAGCTGTCCATGCAACCAACACTTGAGAAAACAGACTCAACCCACCTATCATCCACACAACCCAGCATCCTGCCTTAGTCCAGCTCCTGGCTGTACAGAACACCTCTACAGCTGCCTGGGACTGTTCTCCTGTGTGTGTGTGTATTTCTGCCTGTCTGTCTGTCTGTCTGCAGGGACCACCGTTGTCGCTGCTGTTCCTGTTGTTCCCCTGCTCTGTGGATCTGGCGCTGCGGGAGGCAAGGATGCTCCGAGGGAGCCAGCTACAGCCAGCGAAGGCTCAGTGAGTCAGGAGGGGTTGTGATGACTGCAGTAAGAGGCTGAAATTCCCTATGGAATCTGGCAGGAAAGGAGGGGAAGGAGGAAAGATGGAGATGGGGAAGAGGGAAAGAAAGTGGGGAGTGGCACATACAGTCTGTCGGGTTCTTCCCTCCCCGTCCCTGCGCCGCACTGCCGTTGGAAATGGCGGCCCTGCGCAAAGGACGGCGTCGCGAAAAATCCGCAGCGCCTGCGGCCTGCACGCCCAAACCTCCAAAATTCCATCCAGGGTGTAAATCCAACCCTGCCCTCTCTCCCTGTCTCCCAGAGCACCCTGCAGAGGCCAGGCTGCAGCCCAGGCGATGGGGACGGCTGCCATGCGGTGCTGAGCCCAGCGGTTGTTGCTAAACAACCAACCCTGGCGCTGGAGATGTCAGCCAGTGAGTAACAGAGATTAAACACTCCTGCTAGCACATCCTGAAACTTGGGTAAGCCTAGAATGATGAAAGGCTATGGAATAATGGCCCTGTTGTATGAGAAAGCAAAGTTACCACTCCACTGCATAATCGGGAGACTTCCTCGGCCAGAAGGACCAAGCTCAAGGCTGGCTGTGTCCGCAGCACTTCCAGGCAGAGCTGCCATCTTCATTGCTGGGCGCTTTAAGAAGAGAGGTGAAAAAATAGTACAGTAAACGGTTAAGAGGGAAAAGTGTTCTCCCCTTCACTTCCTTATCCTCTCTCTGGAGCTGCTCTCTGCCCTCAGTCTCCCATTCATCCTTAACCAGTTCCCAGTCCTTCCGTCCTTGCTTTCTAACACTGTTGCTCCTTTGCAAACCTTTACAGACCCATCACTGAGGGCAGTCTCCATCTCTCTGTGATGTTACCGAGCCTATGGCACACTCACACTTGTGCAAACAAAAGCTGAGTTTCGGTAAGAGTAATTTTCATTTTTTTCACTATTCCCACGAGATAATTTCCAGGTGCAATCCCTGCCCCAAGCAGTTCACAGCGCTGCCAGCACTCCAGCACCTCAGAAGGGAGAAGGAAGCAAGGAGAAAAGCCCTGAACCCCAGTACTTTCCCCTGCACCGTGGGCTGCAGCTCTGACACGTCATCATTGCAACTGGACGGCGAAACGAGAACTCTGACAGCACCCATGGGTGAAGGACTGCACCCAGCACAGCCAGCAGCAACCAGCTCCTGTCCTGTCTGCTGCCCGACGGACGCCTGGCATCCCGGGACCCGAGGTGAGCATGGAGCGAGAGCGGGCAGGGAGCGGGCAGGGAGATGGGAGCGGGCAGGGAATGGGCAGCAATTGGGCAGGGAACAGCCATGGAGCGTGCCAAGGAATGGGCAGGGAGCAGGGGAACAGACAGGGAACAGACAGCAAGCAGGCAGGGATAGGACAGGGGCAGCTGCTGGTACTCAGAGTGCTGGGATCAGCGTGCAGGTCGCAGAGGCAGCCCAGCGCTGCCATGGCCGCTCCGCTGATACCCGCGGGCAGGGAGCAGGGAGCAGGCAGGGAACAGGGAGCCGGGCAGAGGCAGTGAGCAGAGGGCAGGAGCCCAGTGCTCTCAGGGCTGCTCCTCTGGTATGAGCAGGCAGGGAATCGGTAGTGGGCAGACGACAGCCCTGGTTGCATGCCACTCTGCTGACACCAGCGAGCAGGGAATAGGGAGCAGGCAGGGAATAGGGAGTGGGCAGTGGGTAGC